CCTACAAACCACAATCCCAGAGAACTTAGACAACAATGCGGACACTAAGAGAGACTTACATAGATCTAATCTACATGGGAAGTAGAAAGTAGAAAAAGACAAGATCTCCTGAGTAAATTGGGAGCATGGGGACCCTGGGAGAGGATTGAAGGAGGTAGGGGAGAGGCAGGGAGGGGAGCAGAGAAAAATGTAGAGCTCAATAAATATTAATAAAAAATATATAAAAAAATAAATACATATTCCCACCCTTAAAAAAATAAAAAAAAAATTAAAAAAAGGAAAGAAAGGTGGTGTGAAATTGAATGTCTCTGATCCCAGTACTAGGGAAAGGCTGAGGCAGGAGGACTGTGAGTTCAAAACCAGTGTGGATAATATAGTGAAACTCTGCCTCACAAAAACAAACAATATGCTTAAAATGGTCATTTTATGTATATTGTATCTTACCACAATTAAAAGAAAAACGAATGCTTGTTTTTTAATTAAAAAAAATGTGTTCTACTGCACACATATGTGTGAGTGCCTGCAGAAACCTGAAGAGGGCGACAGAGTCCCTAGAGCTAGGGTCACAGGAGGTCGTAAGCCACCCCATGCAGGTGTTAGAAATCAAATTAGAGTTCTCTGCAAGAGCAGCAAGAGCTCCTAACACTCAGACATCTCTCCAGATCCTTAAAGAAAAATGTAAGTTTTGGGGATCTAGTTTAAGTTCCTAAAATCACCATGTCAGGTGAGGTGATGTAAGACATGAGGAATGACCCTTCCCTGTGATGTGCTCACAGGTGAGGTGATGACCCCTGTGATGTGCACAGAGGTGAGGAGTGACCCCCATGTGGTGTGCTCACAGTGAGGAGTGGCCCCCCCTGTGATGTGTTCACAGGTGAGGTGATGACCCCTGTGATGTGCTCACAAAACAAGAACCTAGCTGGCTGTGGTTGATCCACAGCTGTAATCCCAGCACTTATGGGACAGAGATGAGGGGATGCAAGCAGATCTCTGAGTTCTAGGTTGGGATGGTCTACATAGTGAGTTCCAGGATGGCTGTAGCTACAGTGTGATCCTGTCTCAAAATGAAACAAACAAAAAGCAAAACCAAGAGCCTACACAACTCTGCAAAGTGAGGAAACAAAAGCCCTGACAATCTGTCCTGGACTTTAGAACACAGACTAGTGCTCAACTGCTCTACACATTCCTATTTGGAGTGACAGAATACAGAAATACAGAAGCAGAAAGTGAATCGTGATTCTCGCATAATCAAATGTGCTTTTCAGACAGAATATGGACTAGAGATGGTAGTCTTCACTAATAGAGTCACTAGCAGGAAGGAGAAGCTGCAGCACACAGACTGAGCAGATTAAAGGGCACCATTTTGTACCAAGGCTTGATACTTCAGCTCCCCGTAAGAAGGGAATTTGGCCCAGCAGTGGCACGCCTTTAATCCCAGTACTCTACTCAAGAGGCAGAGGCAAGCGGATCTCTGTGAGTTCGAGGCCAGCTTGGTCTACAAGAGCTAGTTCCTGGACAGGTACCAAAGCTACAGAGAAACCCTGTCTCAAAAAACAAAACAAACAAAACAAACAAAAAAAGGGAATTTGACACACTAGGATGGCATGGCCAGGCTCGCCTCTCAACTACAGGACCCAGATTTCTCAGCTCACATGACAGGTCTCATTGCTTTCTTTTTTTGTTTTGTCTTTTGAGACAGGGTTTCTATAGACCAGGCTGGTCTCGAACTCACAGAGATCTACCTGCCTCTGCCTCCCGAGTGCTGGGATCAAAGGCGTGCACCACCACCTCCTGCCTAGCACTATGTATTGAACTCACCATGTAGTTCAGGCTGGCCTTTAACTCTCAAATCCTCCTACCTCTACCTCCTGCATGATAGGGCTGCAAGCACTGTTACCATGTCCATCTCAATGAAACTTATTTTTTTAATTAAGTATATTCATTGTACAAAATGATGGGTTAAGGGTTTGGGATACATCTCATTATAACTACATGTGTGAGGTGCTGTGTTCAATCTCTGGACCGCAACAAACAACAAATAGGTTTCGTTAAGACCTTTTTATATGTTGTACTTTACTATCCACCACCTCTAGCTTTCTTGTCTTCCTCCTCAGCTGCTGGGAAGAAATGGAGTACTTCATCATGAATGTGCATGACAGCCTTGCCCCAGGGCCCATGTTGGTCTTCTCTTTATTGTCCCAATTTTAGTATATGTGCTGCCAAAGTGAACACTTGATGCGTTTTAAAGCACAGTAAACAAGATTTTGTTGTTGCTTTTGAGATAAGGTTTCTCTATGTAGCGCTACCTGGTCTGGAACTTACTACATAGGCCAAGCTGGTTTCACAGACCTCTGCTTTCAGAGTGCTGGAATAAAAGGCATGTGCTACCATACCTGGCTTGCCTTAGGTCTTTTTGGTTTTTTTTTTGTTTTGTTTTGTTTTTTTTTTTTTTTTTTTTTTT